CGACGACTGACCCCTCTACAGGGATGAACTAGCAACACGACGAGGATACTGCCTCCATACGTGGCCCATCTCACCACACTCATAACAACTCCCAGGTGCTGGAGAAGGGAACTGAAGGGAACCCCTCGCACTGGAGTGACTAGCAGATGCACTCGGCATAGAAGAGCCTTGAACTGATGGAACAAGGGTTGAACTCTGAGCTGGAAGGGCACTGAGTGATGACTGGCCCTGCTGAGATCCATGATAATCATGACCCGAAAATGCCCCACAATAACCTGGGCGAGCTGGCTGAGCAGACCTGAATGAATGGCCTCTACCGTGCTGAAACTGACCCCTCGAAGGAGCACCATTGTAACTACCAGATCCTCGAGGCCTCTTGGCCTCCCTCTCCTCTTGCTCCTGACGACGAACAGACTCAATCTCACGGACGAAATCCACAACCTCCTCGAAAGTAGCACTAGGAACCCTCTCCCTGGTCATGAGAATACGAAGATGATAAGTAAGACCATCAACAAACCTCTTAATCCTCGCTCTAAATGTCGGGACCAACCAGATGGCATGACGAACCAACTCAGAGAACCTCAACTCATACTGCGACACGGTCATCTCCCCCTGATGCAACCACTCAAACTGCCTACGCAGATCCTCTCTACGAGACTGCGGCACATACTTCTCCACAAAGAGAACGGAGAACTGCTGCCAGATAAGGGGTGCTGCATCAATAGGCCTACGCCTCTCAAAATCCTCCCACCAAGTGAAAGAAGCTCCTGAAAACTGATAGGTGGTAAAAGCGACCTCGCTGGTCTCTAGAATACCGGTAGTACGGAGCATTCTCTAACACTTATCCAAAAAGCCCTGGGCATCCTCGCCCTCTACGCCACTCAAGGTTGGAGGCTGAAATCTACCAAACCTCTCCAACTTACGCTGCTCATCCTCCGGCATGACAGGAACCACATAGTCTTGAGCAGCTGCAACCGGCTGGGCTGGATGTGCCCCCGGCATCTAAAGTCCCTGCACGACCTACTCAGGTGTGAGAGCGGCGGGAGTCTGATTGCCTCCCCCGGCCTGTGAAGTAGCTGTGATTGTAGTGGCTGAAATTGCTTGAGCCAAGCCAGTGCAAACTGATAAGATCTGTGCCAAGGCCTCCTGAAGACCCGGAATCACGATGGGCACAGCTGGTGCCTGAACTGGTGCCACTGGAGCATCCATAGCTGGAGCCTGATCCTGAGCTGGGGCAGCTGGTGGATCTACAGGTGCTGCCCTCGCTGCTCTGCCTATGCCACGACCACGACCCCGTCCTCGGCCTCTGGTGGCCTCAGCTGGTGGCACTGGTGTTCATCCACCCCGTTCGGTAGCGTGTGTCCTCGCCATCTGTGAGAGAATAGAATAACAAAAGATTAGTACTCGGATCAATAAGTTCGCACGACAAGAATTTCAAGAATGTGAGGTTTTTCCTAAAGGTTCTGCAGCCTCTCGAGAATAAATACAGACGCCTCCATACCGATCCATGAGACTCTACTAAACCCGCTCATGACTCGTGAGACCTATGTAACCTAGGCTCTAATACCAACTTGTCACGACCCTAACCCGAACCAGATCGTGATGGCACCTCTCATGAAGACAAGGCCAACCAGTTAAATCCAATTCACTTTTTAAAACAGTTAATCAACATAAAAATAATCTAACAATGATTTAAATGTACTAAATAGCGGAAAATGTCGATAAAATATGGAAATACACCCGACACAGCCCTAACCGGGGTGTTACAAGTCATGAGTGTCTATAGGTCATAATACAAGTCTGCTAAATCCATAAACTAGTACAAATGTTTGAAGGGAAATAGAAATGATAAAAAAGTAGAGACACGAGGCTACGGACGTCAACAGCTACCTCGTAGTCTCCGAACGCTTGAAACTGGAGGGATCAGCACTCGGGAGCGGTACCACCTATACCTGAATCTACACACAGGGGTGCAGGGAGTAAAGTGAGTACTCCAACTCAGTGAGTAACAAATGTAAATAACGACTGAAAGTAAGAAAACACATAAGGCACAAGGCATTCTATAATGAAGCAGTAAAACCATTTAAAAGCAGTAAAACAGTGGAAAGTCAAATAAAATCCTCTTTCAACAAGTAAACAAGTAATTGACAAGTAAGTAAGATAAAGCAACCAAATAGAAGTTCGCCCCTTGGGCGCAGTATCACCACATCCGCCCCTCGGGCAACATCTCAGAACAATAACAGCCCCTCGGGCTCAATCTCACACCACAATGGGTACCCGTGCTCACTAGAGGTGTGCAAACTCCTGGAGGGGCCCCTTACGGCCCAAGCGCAATAACAAGCCATCTCGTGGCATCAAATCTAGGCCCTCGGCCTCATATCAATCAAGCCACCTCGTGGCGTATATATCTCAGGCCCTCGGCCTCAAATAAGTATCAGTGTTTTCTCACAACTAGAACCTCGGCCTTACTCAGTAAAAAATACTCACAAACCCCTCGGGCAATAGTAAAATAGTATTTCTTAGCCCAAACATCATTTAAAATATCATTTAAGTCTTAAAACTGAGTAAACATGGCTGAGTAGTAAAATGGTGGAAAATAACATGACTGAGTTCAAGTAATGAATCAAAATAGTGAGGAATTTGTAATAAAAATCCCCGAAGGGTTCAAGTAGTTGGCACGAAGCCCAAATATGGCATTCAGCTCAAATCATGATGATAGCAAATAAGATTCAAACAAATATACAGTAAAATCATCAACCGGGATGGACCAAGTCAAAATCCCCAATAGTACACGACCCAACGCTCGTCATCAAGTGTGTGTCTCACCTCAATATAGCACTACGATGTGCAATCCAGGGTTTTAAACCCTCGGGACATCATTTAAAATCATTACTCACCTCGAACCGGCTAAATCTCTAGCTCGCGACACCTTTGCCGATCGAATTGGCCTCCACGCGCGTTGAATCTATCCAAAATCATAATGAGGGCGTCAAAATATGCTAAGTGAACAAAGCCCAAGTGAAAACAATCAATAAAGGGCACAAATCCCGAAATTACCAAAACCCGACCCCTGGGCCCACGTCTCGGAATTCAGAAATTTTCACATCAATAGATTACTTATCTTCTCACGAGTTCATACATATCCAAAGTTATCAAATCCGGCCCCAAATGGTCCTCCAAATCCCCAATCATAAGTCCACAATTCCAAGCCTAGTTCTTAAATTTTTAGCTTAAGTTTCCATGATTTTCTAGGTAGAATTCACATAATAATCGAGTTTTAAGTCCAAAAATCTTACCTCCCAACGATTCCCCTTGAATCCCCCTTCAATCTACTTCAAAAATCTCCCAAAATGGCCAACTATGAAGGAAATGAGCCCCAAAATCGTGGACAAGACGAGTTAAAAACGTTCTGCCCAGGCCTTAATTTCCTTCTTCATGAACGCGGTCAAACCCTCGCGTTTGCGAAGCACAAACTCACTTTGACCAACTTTTCCTCTATCCGAACGCGACACGATCATCGCGAATGCAGTGCTTCCTCTACCTTACCCATCGCGAATGCGCTCACTCTTCCACGAACGCGATGAACACTTGACCTCGAACTCATCTGACCCAAATTCCTCTACGCGATCGCGAAGACCTTCTCACAAACGCGATGCACCACTTCCCAGCCTCCGTGAACGCGAAGCCCTTCTCGCGAATGAGAAGGCTTAATCCTTTCCTTCCTCAACTGCCTCTTCGCGAACGTGAGTCTCCACTCGCGAACGTGAAGGGTAAAATCCCTGCAACAGCTGAACAGATTTCTCTGCAATTTTCTAAACTCCAAAATGATCCGATTGACCACCCGAAACTCACCCGAGGCCCCCGGGACCTCAACCAAAGGCACCAACACATCCTAAAAACTTATTCAAACTTGTTCCAATCATCAAAACCTCTCAAACAATATCAAATCACCCAAAACACATCGGATTCAAGCCTATATTCCTAAAATCTTCCGAAATATGCTTTTGATCAAAAACCCAACCAAACCACGTCCGAATGACCTGAAATTTTACACACACATCCCAAATGATACAACAAAGCTACTAAAACTCTCAGAATTCCATTCCAACCCCTATATCAAAATCTCGTCTATCAACCGGAAATCGCCAAAATCTCAACTTCGCCAATTCAAGCCTAAATCTACTCCGAACCTCCAAAACCCATTCTGGTTACGCTCCTAAGTCATAAATTACCTCCCGGAGCTAACCGAACCATCGGAACTCACATCCGAGCCCTCTAACACGTAAGTCAACATCCGGTTGACTTTTCCAACTTAAACTTCCTTAAAAGAGACTAAGTGTCTCAAACCTTACCAAAATCATTCCGGATTTGATCCAACCAACCCGATACCACAAAACACGGATAAAAAAGCATAAAGAAGCAAAAAATAGGGAAAACGGAGTGGTAACTCATGAGACGACTATTCGGATCGTCGCAAATGCTTGTCAAAGGAAGTCAAAGTAACATTGTTTTTAACTTTGTACCCACATCTTCTATACCATCATCTTCACTGGGCTTTCATGGTAGTTAGAATGGTGGCTCACTAGCTGATCCAACCCTCGCACTTTCATAGTAGTCAGCATGGTGGCTCACCATTTTTTGCACCCTCGAGCTTTTATGTTAGTCAGCATACTGGCTCACCAGTTGCTGCACCCCCGAGCTTTCATGGTAGTCAGCATGGTGGCTCACCAGCTACATCTAGTGCTGCTTCTGCACCATCTAGTAGACGCAATCAGAATCTTGGTGGGAATGTACAATTTAATAGTTATAATCGATTGATAATCGTCCCCTACGAGGATCGGTAAGAAGGTTCTTACATTATTTTTTAAGTTTTGAATGTACTTTTAGATATGGTAACATTAAGGAATATTTATTTATAATTAAAACTTTTGAAACTTTAAGTTGTTTATTAATTATATATATGTTAACTTTAATGCATGTTTTGCCACCCTTTCAGTCTACACATTTGGTCGTGGATTCTATGAAGCCATTTTATCATGAGTCGTGGAATTCGTGGAGACAGATACCGTACAACATCAGAGAGCAAACGTGGAATCAATTTAGGGTAAAAATTGATTACATTTATTTAATAATTATCAGTTTCATCTAATGTTACTTTTTATATTACAGACAAAGTGTATATGGCATCCTCAGCATCAAAATGAAATAAATAGTATTTTCGAGAAGAAGACTGCTAAGCGGATTAAAAATACTATGTACGCTGCTCGGAATGCAGGTAAAATACCGGACTGGTTAAGAAAAGATGTTTGGGATAAACTTCTTGAGAAATGGAATGCCGCAGAATGGAAGGCGAAGAGTGAACAAGAAAAGGCAAACCGTGCCTCCAATAAAGGTGGCTCATTGCACACAGGAGGTTCGATTAGGTTTATGGCCCATAAACTAAGATTGGTAATTACTTATAAAAAATTTCTTAGTTTTACATACAGAATTTTTTGTTTGTAATGTCTAACTCATACTTTTTGTTGTGAAGGAAAAGGAAAGAGGGCGAGATATGAGTCACACTGAGGTCTTCGAGGAGACGTATAAGAAAAAGAAGAAGGATGGTACAAGAGAATACTGGGTGGAGACGCGTGCGTCAGACACATATGTAAAATAATAACTTCATAATTATTTATGGTTTATTAATATTAGTTTGTTTACATAATAGTTATATTTTCATTTCAAGAATATGATCATAAAGGGTGGAAGAATGGCAACAAACTCAGCCTCCTTCAACTCAACCAATACCTGATAATATGGCTTCATTGTGGACAGAGGCAGCGGGTGGAGTAAACAAAGGCAGAGTCTATGGACTTGGAGTACGTCGACCTATAGGTCATCCAAACCCACTATTAGCCAATTCTTCTTATTCTCAAAATCAAGAACATATGAAAGATATAAGAAAGGAAATTCGTGATATGAAGCAACAATTGGACTCCCAATTCGGAACATTTGTTAAGATGCAGATATTCATGAGAAACCATGGGCATGATCTATCTGATGATGAGGATGAACAAACTAAATCTAATGTGTAGTAGTTTAGGTGTGATATTGTAACGATCCGACCGGTCGTTTTGAGATTTTGCATTTTGCTCGCCAGTTCTTGGGCATGACTAGCCCCGTGTGCTGTAATATAACTTATGTAAATCGTCGGTTTTGGTTTTCAGGATAATCGGAATAGATTTGGAAGAACAATTCTCAGTTTGAGGCTTTAAATTTGAAAGGTTTGATCAAGTTTTGACTTTTTAGTATTCGATCTCAGATTTGGATTTTTATGATTTGGTTAGCTCCATTAGGTGATTTTACACTTGGGAGCACGTCTGGAATGTATCTTAGAGGTCCGTGGTAGATTTAGGCTTGAATTGACGAAATTGAAAATTTGGTATTTTTTGGTCGGCAGTGAAAATTTTGATACCGCGGTCAGAATGAAATTCCGGAAATTGGAGTAGGTCCGTTGTGTCATTTGTGACGTGTGTGCAAAATTTCAGGTCATTTGAACGAGGTTTGATAGACTTTTTGATCAAATTCGGAATTCAGAAGTTTTGAAATTCTTATGCTTGAATCTGAGGGTGATTCGATGGTTTGATATGTTTTGAGCGTTCCGAAGGTTGGAAAAGTTTGAATGATGTTATAGGTAAGGATGTATTATGGTCTGGGCCCAGGCCTGGTCTTGAGGCGGGCCGGGCTGAGGCGGTCCCGCTCCAAACGGTCCGGGCCTAACGGGCCAAATGAGTGGAACCGGCCCACTGCGGTCCTAAGCCCACATGGTCCCGGGCTAAATGGGTCGTGCCCGCGGGCCTAAATGGGCCTAACGAGCTTTTTCTTTCCGGGCTATTTTTTTTATTTTTTTTATCTAATGCAATTTCTTGTAAACTATATATGTATATACTAATATAAATTGCTTATATATAGCTATATAAATATATATAGTATATATATATATATATATATATATATGTATATATAGTTCATATATATTGAAAATATATATATTGCCTTATATATAGAGTCTATATGTATTATATATATATATATAAGCTATAGATATAGTTCAAATTAAAGTTTACATTTAATACTTCAAATTAAAAGTTCAATACCTTCAACATAATACTTCAAATTAATCTAACAAACTAGAACATTAAAAATAATACGTCTAATAATTTTAAAATAACACAAATTATCTCAAATCAACTTAAAATCTTAAATACGAATGTTTGGAGAACGCGCAAGACAACTCTTTATATGCCTCCTTAAAGAGTCTGTGCCCTCCTTTCGACAACGAGTGTAAACTCGACCACAGCTCTTGCACTTTATTATGTAAACTTCTTCATTTTCTTCTACCACATTAAAGTGTTCCAAAACAAATGGGTGCAATCTAGAATCACCGGGCATGATTTAACTTGAATTAAGAATTGGAGTTTGAGAAATGAGAGATGAGTGAAAACTTGAATACTTCAATTTGAGTTTGAGAAATGAGAGAGATTGATGAATTTGTAAGTAAAAATGAAAGAATGAGGGGGTATTTATAGTTGAGAATAAGAAAAAAAGTGTAATTATAAAAAGTTTGGGGGCCAAATGGCTATTTATGAAAGTGCCAAACGGCTAAAAATGCAATCCAACAGCTACATTTTAAATATTTGACCGCTGTCCCTTTTTTAAAAAAAAAATTTAAATTAGCCGTTGAGCCCGTTTGGCCCGGTTGAATCGGCCCAGGACCGCCTGCCGGTCCCGGGTTAAACGGTCCCAGGCTCGAGGGCTTTTTGGTAAGGACCGGCCCGCTATGGGCTTTTGCACCACTAGAGACCGGGCATGCTTGAACCGGCCCGTTTGGCCCGCGGTCCTAGGCCGGTCCCGGGCTGGGCCCGGACCACAATACCGCCTTAGTTATGGGATGTGTTGGCATGTTTGGTTGAGGTCCCGAGGGCCTCGGGTGAGTTTCGGGGTGGTTTCGGACCATTTCTAGGTCATTTCTAGCTGCTGGTTTTTGGCTTCAGGGGTGTACAGTACGTTAGCATAGATCTGACCGCGTTAGCATAGAGAAAATATTGAAAAATGGATTTGTGCTATGCGATCACGTAAGTCTTCCAGCGATCGCATAGAGTAAAATATCTACTGCACTGACCCGATTTTGGAAGCTTATATCTCACAATATATAAGGAATTTGAAGATGATCGGAAAATAAAAGTTGTAGCCCTTGATGTCTAGTTTTCAAAAAGTTAAACCAATTGTAATTTAGAGTTTTGTACAAAACGTTATGACTATTATACTAGAGGCTATCTGGAAGAGTTGGAGAAGGCTGTTGGAAAAATTTGTTCTACGCGATCGCGGGGGAATGGCCGCGATCGGATAGGGTAAAAGAAGGGCTGGAAAATTTTATGCTTTGCTATCGCATTAGTTTATCCATGATAGCATAGGGTAAATGCCTGGGCAGATTATAAAGTACTCTATTTCGAGGATTTCAGCCATTTTTGCATTTTTTGAGCTATGGAGCTTGGATTGAGGCGATTTTTGAAGGGATTTTTAGAGGATTGATTGGGGTAAGTGTTCTTCACTCAAATTTGGTTAAATCTCTGGATTATATCTTGATTCTTATCATTTAATTAGGGAATTTGGGGTGAAAATTGGTAAAAATGGAAGAAGGTTTGGAGAGTTGATTTTGGGGATTTGGATGGCCATTTGATGTTGGATTTTGGTGAATTTGATATGGGTAGACACGTAAGCGAATGGGTTTTCCAGTTTTGTAATTTTTATCGGATTACAAGACATGGTCCCGGGGGCCGGGTTTGAGCCAATTTCGGGATTTTTGAGTTAATTTGATTATTTTCGCTTGGGCTTTGTTCCTTTAGCGGATACTGATGATAATATACTGATTTTGGTTAGATTTGGAGTATTTGGAGGCCGATTCGAGAGGCAAAGGCATCGCGGGCTAGAGTTTAGGCCGGATAGAGGTAAGTAATGGTTGTAAATGTTTGTCCTGAGGGTATGAAACCCCGGATTTCACATCGTTGTACTACTTTGAGGTGACGCACACGCTAGATGACGAGCGTGGGGTCATGCACCATTGGGGATTATGACTTAGTCCGTCCCGTATGACTGTTAAGTCGCGTATTTGATTGAAAACTGTTTGATATCATTGTGTTTTGGAAATTATTACCATGTTTTGGGCTGAATGCCAAATATTTTGGACCCTTAGGTGATTTTTACTACTATACCTCACTTTTTTGACTTCATATTTGTACTCAGTCATGCTATATTCTACTGTTTTCATAACTCAGCCATATTTACTCGTTTTTGATATTTTAAATGATATTTTGGGCTGAGCATCATGTTTTAGTGTTGCCCGAGTGGCTTGAGAGGCTTTTGACTGAGCGAGGCCGAGGGCCTGTGTTGTGAGGATATTATGGGATCGGGTTGCACGCCACAACAGGTTGTTATTGATTCATGATATTGTGAAGCTGAGGGCCTGATTGATTTATGCCACGAGGTGGCTTGTTGTTATGAGGTCGAGCGCCTGTTTGATTATGCCACGAGATAGCTTGTTATTGCGCTTGGGCTGTAAGGAGCCCCTCCCGAAGTCTGTACACCCTCAGGGAGCGCGGGTACCCAGTGTGAGTGATATGATGTAGCCAGAGGGGCTGTTGTTGTTTTATATTGTTGCCCGAGGGGCTATTCTTGATCCATGTTTTGCCCGAGGGGCGGTTCTTAATTCATGTTATGCCCGAGGAGCTGATTACGAGTGATTGTGAGGTATCCCGAGGGGCTGGTTCTATTGATATTATGCACGAGGGGCGGTTTATGGTACATATTTTTTCCTGAAGGGATGTTTACGTTTCTATCCTTTTTCTCATTGTTTTCATCACTCGTTTGAAATTATTGAAAGTTGTTTTAAAAAAAGGTTTTACTGAAACTGAGTTTGATTTACGAAGTAAATGAATTCTGTAGTATTTTTGGAAGTGTACTGTAATTGTTGTAGCGTTATGACGTGGTTTTGTGTGTTTTCTTACTGCTTAGCTTTCATTTACTTTTATTACTTACTGAGTTGGCATACACACATTACTCCTTGCACTTTATGTGCAGATTCAGGTATTTCTGAATCCGATAACGGGTGTTGATTGCTCAGTGGCAGAGTCATCAGAGTTAGCAAGGTAGCTGCCCGACATTTTCAGCCCTGCTCTTCTCCCTCTTGTCTTCCTTAGACTATTTTAGTATATTTTCAGACTTTTCGTCGTATTCAGACCATAGTAGATGCTCGTGACTTGTGACACCCCGATGTCGGGCTTGTGTATTTATTACGCACTGTTCATTTAGACTTTCATTATGAAATATTTGATTAATTAAAGACTTAAAAATGATTTTTATTGATTAATGGTTAATTCGGGAGTTGTGTCGGCTGGCCTAGTTTCACGATAAGCGCCATCATGATCGGGTCGGTTTTAGGGTCGTGACAAGTTGGTATCATAGCCTAGGTTACATAGGTCTCACGAGTCATGAGCAGGTTTAGTAGAGTCTCGCGGATCGATACAGAGACGCTTGTATTTATCCTCGGGAGGCTGCAGAACCTTTAGGAAAAACTTCACATCCTTGAATTCTCACCGTGCATCCTTGATTCAACTTGAAATGTAACTCTTTGAATTCCTTCCACGCATTTGTATACGCGCATGAGCACTCGGTATCGGTTGTGCATTAATGGCTTGTGATTCCCTGATCGAGGGGCGAGATGTGATTTTTGTGTGTTGATGTTGGGCCAGTCTGGAGGACTTGAGGCCGGGTTTTGCTTGTAGCTGGAGCACTGAGGTGTTTATTGTGTGAGCATGTGCTTTTTGAATTTATATGTTCGATAGTGTCCCTATTAGTGGAAGTGATGGCTGGATGACTATGTGATGAGTATGATGTGACTACGAGATGTATTCATATGATTTGGAAGCAACGAGAAGGGAGTGCTTGAGGATAGAAGAACTATTTGGTGCTTGATTTCCATCTTGACTTGATGTATAGCCCCGAGTTATAGGTGTGTGAAGAATCTTTTCATGTTGTTTAGTTGGGGAGTGGAGTAGATTACATGTTACGATATGAGTTCAGACTTATGAAGATTAAATGATTA